ACTGTTTGTGATTTGGGATGTTTGTAGGTGGCAGAGTCAGTACTGGAGAGAAGCTCAGAAGGAAACACGGAAGGCGGTTCCATTGTGCTGAATGCTACCGCAGAATTCTGCCATGCGTTGGGTGACATCCCCCTTTATGGTCTGGCTGGCAACGGATGAGGACGCTCAGGAACTAGTGAGTGCAATATAACCATCCGCAGATACATGTACATTTGGCAAGGCACTTTGATTTAGCATGTGTCAAGACTAGAACAGTCCATTGCCCATGTACAGTTATTTACTGCAGCTGCAACAGAATCAGAATATATTTTAATTACAGTTGAATTCCATGATAATGGATATATAAATTACTGAACTGGAAACATCCAACAAAAATCCTACAAATGAAAGCACTCGTTATGCAATAAGAATGTGATAGTTGAGATGGGAGAACCTTTTTCTTCTTCTTCTTGACAAGTGGTACCTTCTGGAATAAAATGCTGTATAATGTGATAAGGTCCATAAGCATTATGAAGGAATGTCAGTAGACTTACAGTATCTTAACAGAATTGAGTACCAGGAATTTTCATGGGGGTAAAGTGTGGCCGGTGCGTAAGCCCGACAACCTCACCGCTATTGATGAGCCGATTGTCTAGAAAGTATGGGAGCCTTGACGTCTCACAACCTTATGGACCTCCATGGTCTGTTATAGGGATAACTTTACTTTCTTTTTAACTGTATAGTGTCTTGGTATGTAATGAATGTCACTCATGAAGAATGCCATCTTCTGGGATGTGGCACTGTATAGATATTGTGTAAACCAATGTTTTGGAGGAATGTATCGCTTCTGTCTTCAGGGTATAAAAATCCACAAGCGAGGAACTAGTGTGAGCAGGTGGCTGCAGGCTAAGTCACCTAAGTTGTCCTGTAGCTGTCAAGTCTTCTCCGCAGCAGGCCTTAGGGAAGAAAGTTGTCATGGGTACAAGGATCGGCCACTTGCTTTGATTATGGAGTAGAGTAGGAGATTTGAAGGCTAAAGAATATCTGAGCTTTGAATACTTTGTCATCTCCTCTATAACTGGATTGCAAGTCTCGTCTTGTCTCTCGGGATTGACCCACTTGAGTATTAGGGAGGTGTACAGGATGAAGTAAGCAAGCAAGACTGGTTAAGGAATTTAATATACAGCATTGCTTTATTGTTTCAGAGATGATGAAAAGTGTGGGCATCCCAAGCGCTACAGTGGTCTGACCTCAGACTTCAAAGAAAAGGAGGACTACAAACCAAATGTTAAACTCGACTACACAGATGATGATGGACACGTACTTAATGCAAAGGAGGCTTTCAGGTTAGCACAGATAATAGCATATCTGTTTTTAAGATAAGTCACACTGTGGAGGGTAGCCTGTCCAATGGGAGTACATTCTTTAGAGCAGAAAAAGTTTCCACAGTAATTGCCATTTTAAGAAAAAACTTCCAAGGAGGAAGCAGTTTTTCAGTGGAAATAGACAAGATCACGGGACTACTGTGTTTATCATCCATGTGTGCCATCCTCAGGGTAATGTGTGAACCAACTGATGGATTTATGTGAAACTCTGTATTGTCATCGTGCCGCTCACATGTTCTTTTAGTTGTCTACTATCAGCCATATTAACATGGTGACGTGAGTTGAGAGCAACACTAGAGCCACTTAAATTAGGTCCTTAAGAAAAATGTCCCGGGGTAAGCTGTTATACCCACTCAGAAGGTTCTGAGTTCGATCCCCACTTGCATCCGTGTACAGATTTTTCTGCTCACAGAAGATGCCTTCACATCTGCCAGAGTTTGAGCTTCAGGAATACAAAGGATACCCCCCCCCCAATGGTTTAGAGCCCGTGTTAAATTGTAGGGTCCCTCTGCTGACCAGCACTATCATGATTACCCTATCATGGGTGATGAGGTTATTGTCTTCCACCTCAGATGCTTTCAGTAGAACATTTTGATATATACGTGTTGTTTTGACTTCCTTTTCTCCCTTTCTCTATGTGACAGTTTGTAACTAGCCAACATATTGTGACATTTGAGTGTGTAAATACTTTGTACTTGATATAGTTTGTTGTGCAGGCATAGAATGTGGCAAAATGGTTCATTTTGCAGATAGTTTGCATGAATTGGGAAGAAACATACCTCAAAATTATTATTGTCCCATTGTACTTCTATTAAAATATTTTGTGTTAATAATTTCAGTCCCTATGACTTTAATGTGCTGTAGCATGCCCATTTCTGGTTATTGGCTGTATGAATAAGTTGCGTTGGAATACGGAATGTTACATATTTTTATTATTTCACAAAATAACAGATTAAACTATATACGAGGGGGGACCCAAAAATAACTGGAATTTATTTTTGTTATTTTTTATTTTTGCATTTTTATTGAACTGTATATTAGTCCCCTTCAAAGTATTGTCCATGTGCATTAATGCACTTGTCCCAACGCTTTTGCCACTGCTCAAAACAGTGCTGGAATTCTTGAGGCTGGATACTGTTCAAAGCCTTTAGCGTGTTTTCTTTGACTTCATCCACATCACGGAATCGCTTTCCTTTCAGACTTCTCTTCATCCGTGGAAACAAAAA